ATATGCATGTATTGCAACAAAAGCCAATGAAATGTAAAAACTTGGCAAAGTTAATAAAGCCTTGTATAGGAACATTTTACAACACGACAAACCCATGTATCTTCCATTAAAACATCAAATACATGTACTCAAACTATGGTAGAGCTGTGAAAAATTGTATCATAGAGTGACATTATGCTCTTTTCCGCCGTCAAGTTGAGTCAGTATTATATTTCAGAAGGTTGCCTATTATAATGGTGAATGACCAAAACTTGATAATGAAAAATGTTCATAAATGATTATGATACAACATACATTGATAAAATAAAATGTGTATTTTCCTTTTTCCTATTTTGTCTGTAAAAGCTTTTATTCCGATATTGTCAATATTATAAAAAGCCTTGCCGGATCCAGTCATTTCACCACATGCTTAGGCAATGTGTATAGAAATAAACTAAAATATTTTATATAACCGGCTTTGTTACTTGTTGTCTACATTAGTTTTAGTGAATAACTGAAACTCTTTTCTATAGCGGAACATTATTTACGAAATATATATACGAAATATATAGCGATTATTCGACCAAACTGAAAGCGGTTTGTTAGAAATGAAAACTACATATTAAACCACGAATTCAAGCTTAAAACATAAAAAAAATTAAGCAAGATAAAGCTAAAGCTCACCAAGATACACTTTCTCGCTCACCGGATAAACCTGAACCTGATCAACCATGTATTTTCTATAGTTCAGACTGCGGTCTACAAAACAATGTCCCAAATTTTCACTGATGTATTGACACTCTCTTCTAAATTCAGCTTATACGCAAAAAATAATGTTTTTCAAATTGTAATGTAAAAGTAGAAGAAAAAAATGTAGATTCTATTTGATAAAAATAAAATTCAAGTTTTTTTTTATAAATACCGGATGTATTTTTCATTTTGTGGCTACTGCCACTCATGAAAATATATATCTAAGAAAATATTTATACTCAATGAAATAAATTATGCATTCATAGACAGAACTTAAATATCCACTTTTTAATAAAAACGATATTTCATTAGTGTGATTACACTTTGGTGTGACATTACTTTCATTATATGTAGTTTCAACGAAAAATCAGTAAACCTTTTAATTTCAGTTACGTGATATAAGAAATGTTATATTCGTGTAGATTCAAATCTAAATTTATTGAACTCATTGAATAAAACAATAATGTCAAATATAGAAGTTACAATTAAAGCCTTCGTATTTTTCTCACTTCGCAGACATCAAATAAACCCTGTCCTGCCAGCCTATACAATTTAATATATACCCAGTCTTGCAATTACAAGCACATGCTACTATTGAACACTGTACCTTTCTTTGAAGCCTTTATATTTTAACTTTTACCATTATTGCGATAACAAGAAGTAGACTTGTTTATGTACTGTGACTATTAGAAATCTTGATCACACTCATATTTAGGGAAGGTCATTTTATATACAAGTTAGTATCTTCAATGCTTTGATATGCAACGTTTTACAGTGGTTTACTTATTTTCGAATATTTGTACATGTATATCTGTGCGTCAGTCATTAATTGAAACTTTGAGAAAGTTAAAGTGTGTATATTGCGGGTGTACCGATGAAACATTAAATAAATGACTTTGGCTAGAGCTTAAATGAGTTGCATTTACACTTGAATTTAACTTGAGACAAAGATTAAAATTAAGCGATTTTTCTTATTTATTTATTCTTATCGTTTCTTCTTTTGCTCATAAAGACATCAGTTTTATTTATTATTTAGTACAGTTTTATCAACAAATCATTTAATATTTTCTCTTTATATCACTTTATCTAAAAGTATCTTTAATAAAGCTGCAATATTGAATTAAAGCATTTCTTGCAAAATCACCTTTTTTAAAAAAAATATCACTGGTCAATATTTTATTATTTTACTTTAAACATTTGATCTTTTTCCCTTCAATTATCCGTATCAAAAGTTATATCGCTTTAAATATTTATCAAAGTAGCGTCCTTCTTTCAGTGAGTAACAGATCAAGACAAGTGATTTGAGTGTAAAGAGGTCAAGGTCAATGTCGTCAGGTTTACGGTCAGTCGAAGAGAAACGTGAAATTAACATCTGGAACAAAGGTGATAGCCAGGGTTGTTTGAGTTATGGAAGTTGTATACCTTCTGCTTACAGAGTACAGTAATAAAAAAATGAAGAAATTTGATAACATGTATAATGTAAAGTATGTGTGTGCTCTTCATAATTATGATGTTGCTATGTCGGGGATAATGTAGCTGTTGTATCACTGTTCGGGAATAAACTTCTGTTCGTGGATACAAACATAGTATGACACTGAGTAGATCCATGGTCATGGTCTGGCTTGTCATGGTGATCAGATGAGACTGTTAAGGTTCTGTTTATAGTTATAGTACAGATGGCATAAAGCAGCAGATTATTCATTCATCTAGAAATGACTTTTTTATAAAAATATTACTGTGAGTAATGATGGAAGTAAGTTATACCTTCCATGTCTTAATGAGCTTGTTACCATTGACAACAATTGAAAGCATTTGTTTACATTAAACAATCTACATATAGACGCGTCATTTGGAGTTTGTGTAGATGATCAAGGTTATGTTTATATAAATGATATGAAAGGGAATATGATACAAATAAGTGAAGATGGTAAAACTATACTTCAAGTCATTACAAACCTATCTGACATGACAGATGCATATACTCATACATTAACATTTGATAGGAAAAATAAAGCTCTGATAGCAGCAGGGTGGTCAATCAAAATTAGAGTCCTTAAAGTGAGGAAACAATGAGAAACTCAAACAAGATGAATACATAGGATACCGTGATCATATAATGGACAATTACATAAAGTTAAGATTTCCTAATATATAATAAACTTTATTTTCACTGGCATAAGGTATAGATAGAATTTTTCCTTACTAGATGGATGGTGGAACAAACAATAATGTTTGTGTCATTATATATAATTATGCAGTACTTCAATCAGGAATTTTACATGGTGCCTTAAAGATCCTTTACACATATAGAAAATATGTTCTATATGTTCTCTACATATCGCATATAAATATATTAAAGTTATTCAATATATACATATTCAATTTCTATTCATATTTTTATTCATATGTCATTAGTATATATCATTTCATTATACATTGAACATGTTTGTATTTGTTGATGAAGTAAATAAAATCAGCTTACATTTAATAATTTTTTCTTAATTATTACTGTCCAGTCCCATAAGCGTTTGTTTCTATGAAGTGATTGATTATTTGATAACATATAAGTAAGCCAGACAGTTAGTCGCACAAGTTTCCCTTCTTCCTTTTAGGGAACTCCACTGAGGTCCTATATTTTTAAAAACGTTAAATTTGAAAATCTTAAAAAGATCAATCTGGTCACTTAAAAGGGGAAAAAAGGAAAACAGATTATAACGAAATTTACTCAGAATTAAGTTTAAAATAATATGTAGTGCGTTTGTCGGTCCGAAAAAAGTAAAAAGCATTCTAGGTAATTTTTTGCAATAAAAACAATTATTCTGGAAAATCCGGAGTGTGCAAATGATCTCAAATTTTACCCATAACCTAGTGGTAGAGACCTACATGAAATGATTTAAAAATCTAAAAAGATATTTCCAGTTCTGTCACGTCAAAAAAACCGCAGTATATTCCCTTTAACAACATGCGATAATAATGTTCTAATCTGAACAAAATGACCCCCTTTAAATTTAAATGGAAACATTAAAACTCAGCCAAATATTTCCAGTTCTGTCATGTCAAAAAACCACAAAAGTAATAGCTCGAGATGATAATATTCTGATCAGAACAGGTAAAATGGAAACATTTAAAGTCAGCCAATACGGCAAAATTGACAATATTGCAGACTCAATTGATTAAGCCTGTTAATAAATAGAAGTAGTAAATGTTCTAATTTTCTCAGCATTTGAAAAATGCAGAATGGATTCACAGAAAGCTATAATTCAGTCAGAATTTATGCAAAATTTAGTAGTCCTATAGACAATAGTCTACAAGTTAAAATAAACATCTGAATCAATTCAAGATAATGATCTTCCATATTAATTCTAAGCAGCAAATTTACATATTCATAAAGAAATAAAATTCTGTCAGCAAACATCATGCGAAAGTCATTGTGTTTTTTTTCGGTGATCAATAATAATATTTCTAAAAATATGTGAAGTTACAATGGTTTGTAAAGTATATAAATGAAATATAAACTTCGCCTCAAATTTAAACCAACAGTCACGTAGGCACATAAGCAATGGATGTTATGTAATAGTTCCTCTATTTTTTGAACAGTCGAGCTAAAACATTTGAAACTAGAACTATCGCTTAATGCGATTCATATCCCCCAATGTCCTTGACAGAAGACGACTTGGAAAGGTGGTTAAGGGAATAACTTTAGTGGCACAAATACATTTACATAAAAAGAAATTATCTCTAGTGAAAAAAAGACAAATTGCACAGGTTATAGTATAAATATATATTGTCAAATCATGTTCGAAAAAGTTTCAAATAATCTTTCATTTTTCCAATTTTATAAATTTCTATGAAATATTTATTAGTGGTAAGTATGCAGTGTCTAATGAAATATTGACATGTATTACTGGTAAGTATATAGTATCTTTATTATATTAAAGTTGAAATAAATGGAAAAATAAATGTCCATATGTAATGAAATTGTAGGTTAGTTCTTTAACAGTATAGAAATTGTGATAAATTATGAACTGAATAAACAAGTGAATATCTGTTCAAGTTTCAGAAACATTTAAGTATTAATGGTTATATCAGAACATTTTTAAGCCTAAAAGGGGCATAACTTGTGTCATAATTCAATGGAATTGTAGAATTTTCGTCATCTGAGTTTGCTTGTAACCATTCAAGACATATAAATCTATCGTTTCAAGTAAATATCTGTTCTGGTTTAAGAAATATTATAGTAAATACATTTAAAGACATAAAAATGGATTTACCTTTCTCAAAATACAATACAAAGTTCTCCTTCCCCACTTTTTTAGCTATAAACTTGACCTGTATATATATTTAAAGTTTCAAATGATTATCTGTTCTAGTTTTAGAAATATTCAAGTACATATTAAAATTTCAGAACATTTTCTAAGTCAATTTTGACCTTTAAGTGTGGCTTTGACCTTAAGCCGGCACAAGGGTAAGATGGGTTCTGCACATTGCCCAGTTGGGATGAACATTTGAGTCAAGTTTGAAGAAAATTCTTTCAATAGTATAGAATTTATAGAGCGGACACGACATATTGTCTAATAGTGTTTGTATTTTTAAATTTAAAGACTTAAAAGGGGGCATAACTTTGTCAAAATGCAAAACAGAGTTATGAAACTTGACCTGCATATCTTATTTGTGACACGTCATCTATCTTTTAAGTTTCAAGCAGATACTTGTGCTAGTTTAAGAAATATTCAAGTACATGTTAAAATTTAAGAATATTTTCTAAGTTAATTTTTGACCTTCAAATGTAACATTGACCTTAAGCCGGCAAAATGGAAACATGGGTTCTGCACATAAACTTGTTGAGGTGAACATTTGAGCCAAGATTGAAGAAAATCTTTCAATTAGTGTAGGACTTACAGAGCAGACACGACATACTGTCTAATATTTGATTGTTTGTTATGTGACCTTGAGCTGACACATGGACAACATGGGTTCTGCACTTCCCCTTGTTAAAGTTAACATTTGTGCCAAGTTTGAAGAACAATTGGACTATGATTTATTGAGCGGACACCATAATGGAGACGGAGGGACCGACGGACGGACGGACGGACGGACGCGACAAAGCGAATCCATTATACCCCCACACACACATTTTGTGTTGGGGTATAAAATTTTTTTTTCCTTTTCTTACAATGTCACTTACATACAACTAAAAAGAAATTAAAGTTTATATCACAACTTGAACATTTACTTTACAACATATTAACTGTACACACAAGAAATATACACTTTATATTTATTGCACTTTCTCCTGCAAAACTACAAAATTTTGGCTTCAAACACAACAACTTAAATAAAATAACAAGATTACAATATCAAAGTTAAGTTAAGAGAATTATAACATTACACTTTACCATATTAGATTTTTTATTATTTAGATAATTATTAATGATAAATGTTCTGTCAGTGAGGCAGTGTGCTCTACTATTGTCAATGCTTGATTAAAACAAGATCCTTGATAAGGTAGATTTATTTTTCAAGTTTAAAAGGGTCATAATTCTGTCAAACCCATATGTTATTGGCCTTAGAAGGTGATCTCCTATTATGCTCTCAAATAAGTTTCAGCCCATTCTTTCAATAGTTTTGGTAATACTAACTTGCATGCAATAACATAACCGAAGTGTAATAGAGAGGCCGACACCAATACCGACCCCAGGATGAGTACAGTATCACTCACTTCTCTTCAAATACTTGAGCTAAAGAAAGAAAATCCAAGTTTAATTCAACAGAAGGAGTATTTTAAGATCTTAACACAATAAAACAAACGCTATAGGAGGAGAAAGCACGCTCAACTTATAATACTGAACTGGACAATAAAAACAGAAATATTTACTAATGATGACGGTAATGTTAAGAAAAAAACAAGCCTAGTTTGAAGTTTTACATTGTTTCGTTTAAAGTTGCACGAAAGGTAATATGACAATTTTTTCCCGGATTTCGCTGGCGGAGGAAGGCATCAGATGCCCCTCAGTGCATTACTTCAGGTACGGGTGGGTACCTGAGTAGAACGACAACTGTTCCGTAACCTAGGTAGATAGTTTCCTCACAAAAGAATCCACAGACCATGGTGAGATGAGAATCCTAGGTAAGGGGGAAGCAATTCAAATCCAACGACATTAACCACTTGGAAACGGACGCCACCCACACCCAAAGAAAATCATTGTTGTAGTAAATTTAAGTTGGCATGACATTACAAATTCAAGCAAACGTTTAAGCTCAAAACAGAGCTTATCCCTACATATTGTTGCTACACTTAATTTACCTTATCATATTGTCAAGTTTGAAGTATTTCCCTTGAAATATAGTAATGAATATTCTACATCACAAGAACTTTAACCAGAAATCTGTTCGAATAAAGTGTGATAACTCTACATTGTTCAGTCAAGCTTAAACTTGTAAAATATAATCATAAATGC